GAAAGAAGAAATTACATATGGAATTAGTGAAGGAAAAGGTGCTCAAGTATTTATTTCCTTGCTAATACTCAATCAAATAAGACAAACAAGTAATTCAGCAATTCAAACTTAATGAGGACTGATTTTCTAAAAGATTATGTCTTCTAATGCATTCACTAGAATAGAACTCAGAACTTTTGGCTCTACAGGTCTTAAAACCCTAAATCAAATAAGCTAGGAAACAGTAATACCTCTCTTCCATTAGAATTTTCTGTTCCAGGGCACCTGGTGGCTCAGTTGGTTAAGTGTCTGCTTCGGCTCAGGTTTTGATCCCAGAATCCTGGGATCCAGTCCCGTATCTTATCCGGGAGCCTGCTTCTCTCTCTCTCTGCCTCTCTCCCTCTGCTTATTCTCTCTCTCTCTCTCTCTCTCTATCTCGCAAATAAATAAATAAATAAATAAAATACTTAAAAAAAAGAATTTTCTGTTCCACATCGGAAATAATCCATTCGTTCAAGAAATGATTACCGACTGTGCAGTGGCTATAGGCACTGGGGATAGAGCTGTGACAGTTTTCCCTTTAAAGCATTGAGTTTACCAAGAAAGACAAACAGGAATGCAAGTCATCACAACCAAGATGAATAGTGTTAGGATGAAAGAAGCATACAAGAGTCATGGACACCCACAAGGGACCTACCAAGTCATGAGGGCTGGGAGTGACAGTAGCAAGGGAAGGTCCTCTGGAGGCGGTGACATTTCAGATGAGACTTGACAACCTCGCAGTTAAGATTAAAGGTACACATTGCATTTCGCTTCTTCAAAAAGCTCCATTAAAAGCATATTAAAGAGGCTTTAAAAAAATAAACCTGCAAGAATAAGGAGAACAGAAAAAGGGACAAGAGAAACAAATTTTGGAAGCTTGAGAGAAGATGAACAAGTGGTCTCTGACTTAGCAGAAAGCTGAGTAAATTCTAAAGCAGCAAGGGAGGACTGGGTTAGTGCCGCTGGAGAAGCAGTCAGAGCTCCAGGCCCCTCTGCCATTCCCTGCTTCTGGGTAACTGCCCCTCCTTTCTTCCAGTAGGAAGCTAGAAATGTATTCACTAGAAAGGGTAAAAGAGAAAGTCATTGATCAACAACATGGTTCAGTGACCATACATAATGAAAGATTAATACTGATGTCCCAGCAAAATACCCTGTTTACTCCAAGAACATAGGCACCAGTCCTTCACCTGTCAGGTGGTCAAGCAAGGGGAATTCCTCTGGGGAATCTGACCAGCCCAAGAGGAAAGACTGCTGACACCAGAGCGTCGGGGGTGGGGGGGTGTAGAACAACAACAGCAACAACAAAGCCCAAAGAGACCCACCTAGATATCTCCAGTAAAGCTCCAAGTCAGTAAGCTTCACTCTCAGGCTCTTAATCATGAGTCGGAAAGCAAGGATTGATTATCAGATATCTCAAGATATCAGATATCTCAAGAAAGCCTCTAGCAAGGAAGATAGATATCACTACACTCAAAAAACAAACAGAAACAAAAAAGCATTTTGGAAGAAATAGAGAGTATACATAGAGAAAAAAATTTAAGAAAAACAATCACTAACATCCCTAGATAGATAAGATACTACAGTCATGAAATTTAAAAAGGATCCTATAAAAACAGAAGAATTAAAAAACAAACAAACAAACAAAAGAACTCAAAAGTAGGGTTGAAGAAACAGACTAGATACTAAAGGCAAAAATAAAAAAGAAAGACAAGAAAATTAGAGGACCAGACCAAGCAATTCAACATCCAAATAAAGGATTTCCAAAAGGAAAGAACACAGAAAATGGAAGGTATAAATCATCAATGAAGTCAATTAAGTGCACTTCCCTGAACTGATAGATAGGAGTTTCTAGACTGCCGAGTGTCTGGCCCAGCCATCGCGCACAGCACTTATCATGTACACATCGAGTACTGTTTTAATTATCTTATGTATATTAACTTGTTTAATCACCACAGCAACCCCAGAACACGGATGCCTTTATAAATATCATTTTACAAATGATGAAACTGAGGTACAAAATGGTTAGGCAACTTGTCCAAGATCACACAGCTGGTAAGCAGCAATGCGAGGATGTGAAGGCAGGTGACACAGCCCTGGAACCCGCTACACAATAGTACCACGCAGGAGGCAGCATCATGTAAAATTTCAGAATACACTGCAGATAGTTCTATATGATCTTTTAAAACCAGGGGTAGCTATTCTTTCCATAGTGCATACAGGGCCTCATGCTCGACCAAGAACCCAAGAGGAACTCCATGCAGATTCCTGTTCCCACCTCCACACACAACTTTCTTCCCTCCAATACCCTGTCTTACAAATTTTAGTCCCATCAGAAGCTCTAAATTCCTATTCCTGCTTCCCAGCTCCACAAGAACACTTTCTACATTTGGGTTCACCTCCTGGTGCCACACCCGAAAGAAGCATCCTCAGAGAGTAAGTCTGGGGAGAGTGGGATGCTACCCTCTCATCTCAAGGAGCACAGAGCCACACAGTTGCTACACAATGCCTGACAACAGTTGCCTAGTACATTTTGCCCAGTGCTATAATTATGCATAGCAAGACAGTAAGTCTGAAACCAGTCCTTGAGTGCCTGAAGGTATCTTTACTTGACCCACCCATTCCCATAGTTCTAGGCTTAAAATTCTTTTCCTTCAACGCTTCAATGTTATATTCTTGCAATCCAGTATTGCTGTTGAAAAGTGAACATCAACTTAATTTTTATTGTTGTCCCTATTTTTGTTTCCTCTATATTCCCAAAAAATAAAGCTTTAAATTCCTGTTCCATTGGGTCTGCTTCCTCTGATATAGGTAGGTTGTCTATGTCCCGTCATTCTTCATGATATTTTTACTCTTTAGATGAGTCATGGTATCTTTTAACTGGGACTTCATTAGTATTATTCCTGAGACCATCGGTTGCCTCTGCTTTGACGACTACAAAGGTGGCCCATTGAAAGGAGAGGGTCAGCTAGTGTCTTCGATGGAAGGGAGGGAGGTAGAGTTAAGCGCTCCTACTGCAGGTCCCTGGGCTTAACTGCACTTGTTTTCCTTGGCATTTCTTTCTCCTTTAGATGCACTGCCTAATTCCTCTGTATCCGAGATTGCTTTCTTGAACTGGAGTTGGGGGAGACAGCTCCAGGCCCCACTGGCCATCTGTGGCAGTATTATAGATTTCAGTGCTGAGATCAGAGTTTCAGGGAGATAGACTGTTGTTATCGAATCATCTATTGGGTAAGGCCCTGCTGTCTTGTTTTCTGTCCTGGACCGAAAACAGCAGGCAAAGTCAATGCAGAAAAATTCAACTTCGAGCATATATTTCATGTTTGCAAATGCAATAGACAAGACTCATTCAGCTCCTGTCTGAGCCTGGCCAACCAAGATCACAGCGCTCACCCTGGACTGGCCCAAGATTCCACTTAGAGACATCAACTTTTGTCTTCTCTCTCCTCCTCCCCTTCCATCTTCCAGCTGTCTCCTCCACTAGCCCATCATTTTCTTTAGAGTTTCTCAAAGTTTTGATACAGTTTTCAGGTCTGCCTTTGGATTCATTCTGCCTTTCCATGTCTTCACTGGAATTTTCAGATTTCAGTACAGGGAAGGGAGCCAGCGGAATGTTTTTAGCTCATCAATTTCATGGAAGCCAGAAGTCCATCCTCCTCAGGGATCATTCTGGGGATACTCCCTTGGACCTTCCAGCCCACTTGGGTATGCTACAGCAGGCTGTGGGAGAGATAGGCCAGGCCAACCTCACAGGAGAAATCAATGTTAGGACCTGCACTGTTAGAACACCTAGCCAGAATTACAAGTGACTGAAATGGGGTGGGGCATTTTCATTTAAGAAACTTCCCACCCTAACCTCAGGCAGATTGCAAGATAGCTTAGTTCTAATGCTGGGCGTTTCTCAAAGGAAAACATCCAAATTTCTGGTAATGATGACATATATCCATATATATCTAGTACACAACTCAATACTTAGAATTTTATCATGCTTCTAAGTACCTTTATTCCATATCATTTATCTATATATCATTACAGAAATTATGAAAGTTTGTCTTCTTTAGAAAGATGAGTGGAAGACAAATTTCTTTTCTATAGTAACAAATCATACTGCCCCAAAATAAATATATTTCTTTTTTCAGTAGAAAATAACAGTCTCCTGCTCTACAGTCAACTCTCATTATTCATAGTAATGTTCTATAAAATCGCCGCAAACACTGAATTAGCAAATACTGAACCATTGCTCTTAGAGGAGACACGGGATTAGGTTCCTGAGAGCCTCTGCTCACATTTCCATCAATCAGTGCATAACCTGGTTTTATGCATATTTCTGTTTAAAGACACTATAATATGTATTGTGATTCATTAACAATGAACATAGCCAACAGCATTACAACTCACGCCAGAAGTAAGCTTATCTAACATGTATTTTCTTCATAAGTCCCATCACAGTCTTCTTGTGCTGGGACATTAGACAGTGCTTTAACATTATACTCTCAAGCCATCTCAAACACTAAAATCACCAACAAAAAGTACACCAAAAAATGCAAAAATCATGGCACTAAATAGACCATGAAAAGGACACTTGTGTACAGTATGAGAGCTGAAATGAGGAGGCAGAGCTGTGCTCTGTTCCACCTCGGCTGTAAGTGTGCACATCGGGTGGCTCAAATTTTTCACCACTCTATGCATATCCATGGAAGAATCACCCTAAGTACTGCTTCGGGGGTTACAAATAAATGTTAGCAACTAGGAGAATTTGCAAATACGAAATCTTGAATAATGAGGATTGACAATTTATCAGTGCTTGCATACTGATGAGGGAGGGAAAAAACCTTTTGTTAACAGAAAGGAGTCTGTAAAATGCCATGTAAAGAGTATTTTGTTGACCTTGGTATACCCTCACCCTCCCACCTCCACAAACAAACCCCTTGATTAATTCAGAAATGTTTTGTGCAATCTGTAACAGTTTAGGGTCTACTAACATTTTATGCCGATCTGGTGGGTGTCTAGTAAAGAGAGCTCCGAAGCCTGTGGCAGGTAGTCCAGTGTCCCTGAAACCAAGACAACAATTTTTAGAAAACATGTCAGACTGACATTTATAAACTTTCAAAGCCGTGGGGCTGAATTTTTTTTATCCTTTATAAAAAATTTTTCATTTTTTATTTTAAGACCAGTGTAGTTTACACACAGTGTTAAATCAGGTTCAGGTGCAGCAGTTCCGGGTGAAGAACATACTGTGGAGATTGCATCTGACTAGTAATCTAGCTATTCGTGCTGCCAAGACAGGGGAGCGACAATAGTAAAAGAATGACTTCAGGTAGGACTGATCAAACAAATAATGGTGCTTGGTATTGAGAAATGGCTTGTGGTTTTATATTAATAGTTAGAGTAATAAAATTGATAGTACTTATAATTGAGGAAATACCTGCTAATTATGGGGGGAAAATCAGTCAACAGAAGCTTCTGCATGAACTAGGTTGCCAGCTGGGGGTGGGTACAGTTCACCTTGCTCAAACGATAACAAGTGCAGCACCTGCTCCAACTGTTGATTATGTGAGCGAGAATAACCATGATGGTGGGAGTAGTCAGAAACTGATTTACTTGAGAAAATGCTGTATCGGGAGCACCAGTTATTAACGGGATTGGTCAGTCTCTGAATCCTCCCTCCAATTATAATTTGTATAACCTTGAAGAAAATTATTACGAACGCAGGGGTGGTTACACCTGGGGCTGAATAGTTTCTTTTCTTTTTTTTTTTAAGATTTTATTTATTTATCTGACAAAGATCACAAGTAGGCAGAGAGGCTGGCAGAAAGAGGAGAAAGCAGGCTCCCTGCTCTGCAGAGAGCCCAATGCGGGGCTCGATCCCAGGACCCTGAGATCATGACCTGAGCGGAAGGCGCCCCGGCTGAATAGTTTCTTAAAGGTTATTCGTGTCTGCAACTTTTCTGCACTTTGCAAAATAAAATGTCCCAATAAGTAAATGAAAAATTCAGTATTTTGTCATTGTTTTGACTGCACTTTCCAACAATTACAACAGAAGACAAGATGAATGGAAAGACTTTTCCATGGAAAGACACTGTGCCAAGCTGCAGGACTACAGATATGAGTAAGAAAGAGTTCCTACTCTCAAAGTACTACTTCAGGGGAAACACACATACATATAAATGACTAGAATGTAAGTCTACTTACATTCCAACTGTTACTCAGAACATAAACAAAATGCTCAGAGGGCAAGATCCAGATCAGTGACTGCTTATAGGAATTAGCTTAATTAGTAACTGCTTGTCAGGTAATATTTCTATGTACATTTCATACTTCTTTTCAGCTAAACTTCAGAGAAATCTAGGAAGTAGATAGTTTTATAATACCCATTTTATAGGTTGACAAGCTGAATATTATAGACACTATTTCACAAGTAAATTGCAAAGTTGGTGTTCAAATCTAGTCAGACCATTGACCAGGAAAAATGCATAAAGAGGAAGTAACATTTTAGCTGGACCCAGAATGGGTACTGCTGATTGGCAAACAACTGAGGGAAAGGGAATTCCAGACAGAGGGAATGGCATGAGCAGAAAAGCATGGAAACTTGCGATATGTTCGTTGCGATTGATGGGTCCCTGTAATGTATAGCTGGGCCTGCTACACCACCTCACCACTCATACAAATCCTTGCCTGCAGGTCTATGTCCTGAAAGCAAAGGAAAGTTGAAGAATACCTTTCAATAATCCCAGAGCTCATTGTCTCGTCATTCAATAAAGGCTTCCTCTTTATTTTATCCAATTCTCTGTTTAAATAAACTTGTGCCATTTTTTCATGTGTTTCTGATATCCAAATCTGGAAAAATGGAAGCCGCATATAAGAAAAATATATACATTGCCCAAAATGGTCAGTTATTAAAATATTTTTGTTGAAGCGCATTCTGATTTTAATTATTGATGCTACTGACATTGAAAAATAAGTACTATCTCATAGCAGTTCAGCTATTTCATCATAAATATGTGAAAATGGCCATTCCTTACCATGTGTTATTGGAAAATAAAAAATCAAGTTGGTTGTTTCTATGAAATGCATTCAACTAAATACTAATGCTACATGCTTTCTACTTCCTTCTCAAGGTTAGTATATTTTAATTTCCCTAAGTAAGAAAATGTCTGTAGCAATCACTTTGTAAATCACTTTGGATCAGATACCAGAGCCACCACCCCCATCATCCATTCATTCTCCATTACTCAATAAATTATCAAGAAGTTATTACTATGAGAAAGACTTGCAAATTGTAAGATGTACTCAAACCAATTGAAGAAGCATCATGAATAACATTTAGGGAATCTTACAAATAAAAATGGATGCTGAGGATTCAATATTTTTTTTCCATTCCAGACTCTAGAAGATCATGAATGTGGAGGTTGACAGCAGAGAAGCAGAACTCACCACCATCAAGAGAGCCCATTACTTTCTCCAAACCTGAAGACATCCAATGAAGCACTAGATCACATTAATGCTACCAGGTTTTGTTAAGAAAGAAAGAGAAAGAGAAAGAAAGAAAGAAAAAGAAAGAAAAAAAGAAAAAGAAAGAAAGAAAGAAAGACCTTTGTTTAGATATTTGGAGACTTCAACTGCAGGAATATCATAGCTATAGTCAAATGCTGATCAGTGACTGCTTTGAGTTGGTATAATAAAGCTCTGCTACAACTAGGAAACTATCCTACTCAAACCAATTTTAAATATAGTCTCTGGCCCTGGTTCCCTGGTCTATTCCATGGCTCTAGAGATCTTTTCTGACTACTGCTCTCTAAGACTTCAACGTCCTGAATCACCAGCTACCCAACCCAATTTCCAGCTTTGACTCCTATACCCTTTGCTCAACTACTCTTCCTATAAATTCCCAAGCTCATAAGTCAATGGTAAGAGACACTGTATTGAGCTTCATATTATACACTTTAACAAAAACTAAGACATTTCTTTTAGGAAAAAAATTACTAGGCACTTTTTTTTTTAACTGTTTTGTTTTCATGTGTAAGCTTGACCCAAAAGCACCTGTCAGTTTTCTACAGGCTAATCCCAACAGAAAGCCAGAGGGCAAGGAAGATCACTGAAGCTGTGCATAAAGGTCAGCCTCCATGGCACAGAGCAGGGCTGAGAAGGGGGAAAAGTAGACCTGAAGGGAGAAAGGAAAAACACTTGGCATAGTTGATCTTCATTTTAAGGAAAAACTGAGGCTGAAACAGAATACGTGAGGCCCAGGTAAACCAGCAAGAAAGCAGAAATTCCACAATTCAAAACATGCAGCCTGACTCATTCATTCATCAGTCTATATCTATGAAGGGCCAGGCGAGTGTAGTAAACACCCTCCAGAGGCTTGACTGACTACAGCTTAGTGAGCTGCAGTAAATCATGGGGATCATAGTAATGATAACAGCACATAGCTAGACACTGTTCTAAATGTCTTCACGTTAAATATTCTTGAAAACTCTACTACTCCCACTTCACACCTGAAGAAATAAAGACATGGAAAGTGTCAGACTCCTGACCAAAGTTACAACCTGTTAAGTGGTGGAGCCAAGACCAAGAGAGAATCTGTCTCCAGGACCCACTCCTAACCTCTGTTTCCTGTACCCCTCAATTTTAGACCTCCCGTCTTCATCAGTGTTAGAACCCCCAAAATTTTAGCTAGAGACCTGGTGTTTCAGACCACATTTTTTAGTTTCCTTTATCTTTTAAAAAGATAGTTTGAAGTTTTTATTTAAATTCCGGTTAGTTAACATACAATATATTAGTTTCAGGTGTACAATATAGTGATTCAATACTTCCATATAACGCAGTGCTATGTGGAAGTGCACAGCAAGTGCACTTCTAGTCTCCTTTATACTTAAATATAACCAGTGACTGGTTCTGAACAATGAGGCATAAATGGAAATAATTTATACAACTCCAGGAAAGTTCCCACTGCTTTTCTTTTCCTCCTGCATGAAATGTGGACATAGCAGGTTTCTGGCAGCCATCTTGGGCTCTGCGCAGGGATGGCAGGGTAGAAAGCTGAAAGGAGCAGGTTTCTGGCAAACTTCCATACCATTCCTGACCTGCTATCATCCAGACTTTTTACATGAAAGAATAAAACCTCATGTGAACAGCTACTGTTGATTTGTGGTGTCTGTTGCATGTGGGCAAATCTAATCCAACACCATTTTAATGTGAAAAATCACTGTGGTCTAGAAATATTCATAACCTGACATAAGGGTGGATAATTTATAAAAGCACTATAACATGTGTTTAAAAATCTTTTTGGCCATATATATATTTTATTGGCCATATATTGCCATATATATATGTATAAATATATATTATATATATATATATATAATTGGCCATATATATATATATTTTGGCCATATATATACACACACACACACACATACAAATATACATATATGTGTGTGTATATACATATACATATGTGTGTATGTATATATGTATATACATACACATATATGTATAAATGTATATATTGCCATATTTGTGTATAAATATATATTATATATATAATTGGCCATATATATATATTTTGGCCATATATATATATATTTTTTAAAGATTTTTATTTATTTATTTGACAGAGAGAGATCACAAGCAGGCAGAGAGGCAGGCAGAGAGAGAGGAGGAAGCAGGCTCCCTGCTGAGCAGAGAGCCCGATGCGGGGCTCGATCCCAAGACCCTGAGACCACGACCTGAGCCCAAGGCAGCGGCTTAACCCACTGAACCACCCAGGCGCCCCTATATATATATATATATATATATATATACACACACACAAACACACATACGAATATACATATAAGTGTGTATATATACATATACATATGTGTGTGTGTATACCACGAACTGGAGATTGGTAATTTGGTATGTGAGACTGCTAAATTAACACAGAACAAAATTGCAGGATAATCACTAAAATTTCCATTAAATTTGCATAATAAGATCTAGCTTGAGTCAAATGGTAAATAAAAAATATCTAATGTGTATTTAGGAAGTTTACTTTATAACATCATCATTATTCCCCATTTTCTTAAATATCAATTTTTCTTAAAGTCCCAACTTCTAATCTTCCAAGATGAACTCTTCTTATATGTGTGGCATTTAAGAAATCCCAGTGACTGTTAACTGGATAACTGGTACAGGGAAAGAGAAAATCATTTGTGACTTCCCCTCAAGTTTCACATTTGAGGGTAGCCAGACTCTTTCTGCTAAGGATGACCTACTCCTAGAAGAATAGCTCTTGGAAAGATGCATTTTAGTTGATTGCTAGTTGACATTTCTTTCTTATGTTCTTACAGAGTCCCCGGAAGCAGACTCCTCTGACCCATACTGTAGGAAGTGCAGACACTTTCCACATCAGGCTCCCTCTGTGATGGCACAGGCTGCCTCAGGAGTAAGTCCGACCTCAGTCAACCATGTTCCTCAACTTCAGGATAACAGTTACTCAAATCCCTTGCTGCCCAATATCCTCGAGGTCCCACACTACAGCCGGGAGTAGCTTATCCCATGTGGAAAGAAGGGGTGGAACTCAGCATGTAAATTCTCTCTAAAGGACTCCAAATTCCAAATACCAGGTCTCTTCAATATCAACCTCTTCTTTTTTTAATCTTCAAGGTGGATGAGAGACAGTTATTGCCCAAATGCTTTGCATGTTCCATGTGACAGATATGGCACCTCACTATGGAATGAAGAACTTGGCACCTGTCCTCTTAGATCTTCAGTCCTAACTGAAGCTGTTAAGTAGCACTTCCCCTACCAACTGTAGCTTTTTTTGTATCATTGCCAAAAGGTCACCATCATCAACAACCAATATCAAGACTTCGTAAAAAGTCTTTATCTTTAAAAAAGGATGATTCTTATTTCGCAGTTTTGCTCTTGGAAATTCTGACTCTGTTTTCATATCCAGGAGAACACAATAGTAGTTCCATACAGAGATTATTTAAAGGATTTCAGAGAATCGATGAGGCTCCCTGCCCATCATTATATTGAGCAACTGGGATGACATGGGGTATGATCAGAAAAATGATTTCATTCTTTTTTTCTACTATCTCTTCTATCTTTTCTTACAATCACCTCAGATAACAAAACTGTTTCTTGTAACAAAAACAGTCTCAGTTAAGTAATGAATATTAGTAGAATAATCACAAGAGGGCCTTTTAGTTGTCTTGATGTCTGAGGGAAGGAAAGAACAGAGCAAGTGAAGAACTAGAAGGTCAGCCCGCACTCCCCACACAGACACATTTCCCTCTGCAGAATTCCCTGGCTTGGAGCAGAGTAGCTGGAGGAAGAGAAAATCTTTTACCTTAAATGAAATTCACCATTTTGATGAGATACTTTATTTACTGAAATGGGACCGACAGACTTGTTATGATCAGAGAGTGACCATAAAATTTATAAAATCTGCATACCATTTTATCCAAGGGTACAAAAGAAAACATCACTCCACAAAGTAGGGTGAATAGACAGTGAGACAAAGAATACAGGTGCGCGTGCGACTGCATCTTTCAAGTGCCGTTTGTTCAACATAACAGAGCACATGCTTCAGAAAACTGATATACTGAAAAATTAAAATCTAGTTCCTCAAAGAGTTAAATGAGGCATGATTATTGCTATAGAAAAAGAGTTGTGAAGGAGAGTGATGGGATCAAAATGGCTGATGCCAACATTCATTCCTATCCCAGATCCCTAGAAATGACAGAGCAGATACACGTTTGAATCAGTAAGTCCATGGATGCATCAGCAGACATGGAAAATACGCTCACTTGGCCTAAATTTATACAGAATTCCTGAAACAGTAGAGG